TTTTTCGATTTGCATTGCGAAAAAATACATTTTAAAGGGTATGTTGCAGATATGCAACACGGCCATATAAGGGGTTAAGCGTTGTTGCGAAGTACATTTTATTCTTATCTCTTTACGTTCTTAACCTTGAAATATATAGATGACACTATGCTTATAATAGTGATAACACGATGTTTATAATATTGTGAAGACACGACATATACAAAATTTCAAGCCTCTATCTTTTCAGGGACAATTAATGTCAAAAATTCGGGCTTTTTACCCAAACGACAATATCAGCTGTCACGCTTGTGCGACAATGAAGCTTTTGATGCACCCGAATGTTTTTCAATGCAGTTCTATAATTTATCGAAATGATCTTGATTCACAAAATAATATTAGAGACGACTTGAGTAGCTATATTGAGTGAACAAATAAATGTATAGGTCTACAATTACATATATTACAAGATTAACATGTTATACATAGAAAACTAAGCACTAAGATAACTAACTAAGATATAAAACAATCACTTTTAAAATAACTGAAAGCAAAAAGCCTTCAAATATACAAATTTGTTCTCTATAAATACATGTTATAGGCCATGAGAAGAATGACTACTATTCTACATTATCTACACGATGTCCTAAGCAATATTTATTTGAATACTTAAAAGCTACAAAAAAGCTATTAACTATTTAAGCGAAAACCGCCTTCGTTGGATTGGGAATAAAAATAGACAGCACAGCAGCAACTGGAAATAAAAACAAAAAATAAACAATTTAGATATACATATAAAACACACTTTTTGTGCAATTTCTATCATATACAACGAACACAAAATATATATGTACATAAGTAATAGCAATTTATGTGCGCCTTTTATGCATACGATCACCCATTATTATTTTAGTGAATATTATAATAGTATAATATATATTATAATTGAAAAACAAGTAAGAAAGCTTTAGTCGAGACTGCTCAACTACGAAAACTCCTGAACCATTCGAAGAATTGATATTTTACATTTATTCTTCGAGTCTTTCTGCTTACACTAAAAAATACTGAAAAACATAGGGATGGGCTATGCTCATGAAACTTTCAGGTCGCTACGATAATATTCAAGTTCATGTATATGCCAAAGTACAAGTCTGTAATATTTGAAATACACCTTTTAGAAAGGTGATGGTCAGGGGTTGAATATAGGGGTGGGGGGTAAACTACAACAAAAAATCGAAATTATATAAATTACATATAAGTCTACATTTAACATTTTGAAGCTCTAGCTCTAAAAGTGTAGGAGATATAATTAAATAACTAGAGAATTTGAAAATTTTCCTACATATTCTATATCCGATTTTCCACTTAGTGCACGTAGACATATTAATAGACATATAAACTTCATCAATCTTTATAGAATCGTACCACTAGTGGGCGGATTAGAAAAATTTCAACAGTTTACTTTCGTGAATGAGTATAACAACTTACACAGCATGACAAATGCGACCATCACAAATGGCGGGATACAGCCGATCTGTATTAAGATCGGAAATAGTAGATTTCCAGACAGCGCGCCCAAGCGACCACACATCATGGCTATGGCCACCACCAAGGAGCTAGAAAAAGATATGAATTTTAATTTGTATTTGATCGCATATACACTAAAGTAATGCGGAATACGGCATATCTTACCGTAATTGAGTAGGAAAGAGCGAAACAACAGCGCCCAGAAGAGACGAGACAGCTATTCCGCCTACAGTGACATAGGCAGAGGATAGGGCAATTGTCATCACACTATTTACGGACCAATACAGGCCTATTCCGAGAATTCCGGAGATGAACAGACCGTAGGCTAAACGAAAGATAGATAGACAGATAATTATACGATATTTTATATGCAAATAAAAATATATACATGGATAAACAAAAGCACAGTATAGAGCTGATATTAGAATCATTTTACGCTTCTTCCAAAGAAAATGTATTTTCTACTTATATACTCATTTTCATTTCAATAAATGTTATTTTAATGTAAATATGCCACTTACTTAACATGCGTTTTGCACCTGCTAGACGTATGATAGCAGCAGCAAAGAAATAGCCACCAAATCCACACGCGGCGACGATGATGTTATTCAAATACATATCTATTGAAATATTTGGAGTCTTTAAAAGAGATAGAGATTAAATCGACGAAGAGAAAACAGACAAAGTCGGAGTGATGCAGCGAAATAAAAGATTAAATGATGAGGCTTGATAAGCGAATTATCTTAGCTCGAATCAGGACTGATTAAAACAGATAAGAAATGGTCACAGTCTCACCTCAGCACAAGCGCTTTGATAGTTCGTCAACGTTTCGGCTGTTCGATTTACGCTGTAATCGAGAATTGTACACATAGTGGCCGAAGCTTGGTCATCTGCATGTTCTTCCTGATAATCGGCCATGGAGGAGAACAGCTGCGGCAGCCAGAGTCGGATGGTGTTCATGCCCAGAAACATGCAGAACTGCATCGTGTAGCAGCGGAGCGAGAGGCTCAGCAGTGGCTTGTGGAACATGGGCTTGATCTGTTGCATGCCGGAGCGTAGGCTCTCCAGCAGGCTGCGCGACGATTTGGTTTTTGGAGCTTCTGGTTTCTCCTCTACGGTGTAAATAGCCTCGCCTTTGTGGGCAGCACGATTGGGTACCTCTAAGACAAGGGCCTTCACCTGGCATGCATACAACAATAAATTTCAATATACTTTTTATTTTTCGTTGTTGGAAATCGCACTCACAGGATAGTTCTCCTTTGGCTGGCCTGTATTGATCGCATAGATCTTTTGTAGCACCAGCAAAGCCTCCGTATTGCGACCCTGACCCATTAAATATCTCGGACTCTCGGGCATCAGACACATAATGAGGCCACTTATTAGACTGGGCAACCCGCAAATCAGCAAAAAGATTTGCCAGCTGTGAACTGAACGGAAATATACATAGTTTCGAGCTAGTCGAATATTCCAGACTTGAGCCTACTTATATTTATCTTCAACTTACTGTTTAGACTGCCAAAGAGCACAAAGTCCCAGGGCTGCGAAAATGTGGCCCAGGCCAACATTGGCAAGAACAAAATGGCAGCGCTCACAATCATGCCCACAATCAAGAGCACTTGAGATCGGTACTTGGGTCCGTGCATCTCTGACAGATAAGAGTAGAGCACAGCTGAGGGGCCGTTGACACTAAGTAGTGGCAGTTAGTTAGCTTAGTAAATTCCCAGCTAAGCAAATATTGTAGGTAGCGGCAGTTTACTTACATGAGTCCGCCAAAGAACTTGAACGTCACCAACATGACGAAATTTTGACTCAGCGCGCTACCAAATACGCAAATCGAGGTCAACAAATAGCCGTAGACGAGGACAATGCGGCGGCCCTTCGTGTCGGCCAAATAGCCCCAGGGTATGGCGGAAACGATCATACCCGCATATGCGCAGGCATTCAAAATACCCTTGTCGGTCAGCGTTAAATGCAGATGACACTCGGCTATAGGCAATATGTACGACATCGTCGTCGACTCAAACATATTCGCACAAGTCGCCGGTATCGCGATGATCAGCAGAATCAGATTGAAGCGGCCAAAGCCGGAAGATGTAATGGCCGTATCAAAGTCTGCGGGCTCGTCCTGTGGAGAGGAAGTTCTGGTTACCACTGTGCTCTTTGAATTGCCATCTATATCGTCATCCAAATCGATGTCTGAAAATTTTTTAATTGAATTAAAACTTGAAAGCAATCTATTTCTATTTGTACTTTCAAATGTTTTTATAGCAATGTTAGAAATAAAATGTAAAAATAATAAAGCAAAAAAACTTTTTAAAAACAAGTAAGAACGTTGCAGTCAGGCGTTACTAACTGCAGAATACTCATTCACACTTCATAAGCTACTTAGCTTAACTTAACTCTAACAACAAATATTGTAAATGAGAAAAATTTATAATCAATATTTCAAAGGTTCAAAATTTCAATTTCGATAAATGAATTTAAAAATATATATTAGATGAAATGAACATATTTACACTAAATGCCTAAGCTAAGTCCTAAATACTCACTTAAAAACCACTATGGTAACTATAAAATGTTTCAAAAATCCTAGGGCTAATATCTTCATTAGATAGTCCATTATGTTACTCTGTAAATTAACAAAACTAAAACAAGTAAAAGTGCTCCAGTCGAGACTGCTCGACTAGAAGATACCCTGAACCCTCCAATCGAGTATTCTAATAATTTAGCACTTCTTTTATGCACACATACATACACATGCATCCGCACGCATGTTTAAAAACGCGCTCTGCTAACTGCTCACGACTGCGCTTGGGCTGCGCTGAAGTGGAATGTGAATTTATTTGTTGAATAATTTCTTTTGTAGACATACAATCTTAATTAATCTTTTCAGATTACAAAATGTTTGTATTCATCGTATGTATATACACAGTTAATCTGAAGTCTCCAGGTCTAATAGTATTCAAACGAGGCTGAAAAAAACAAAATCAATTTTTATATAATTCCTGATAAAAAAGTTATCGGATGATTTATAATAATAATAATACAAACTTATGCTGCAGGTGGTGTACACGAATATGTATGCCAAATTTTAGCTCTTTAGTTTTTGTATCTTCTGAGATTGACGCACTCATACGGACGGACGGTCTGCAATGCTTCCATCCACCTGTTACATACTTTTTCACAAAAATAAAAACAAATTTACCCTGACTTCCTATTTTTTCAGGGTTTTTTGGGTTCAGGGTGTAAAAATAAGAAACAAAAGAATTCAAAATATTTGATTCCGTCCTTGCTGCTCAGAAAGTCGAACTCAAACCTAACATTTCACGCCTTAATACGATGCGCTTCGCTTCTAAGACGAAGTAGCAAAACTGTTGAAGCGCCATTTGGCGAATCTAAACTAAACACTGTTCATAATTTATTAAAGTCTATTAGCTAAACGGGATTTAATGAAATGAAACATATGATTTGAAATTTTTTTTAGTTGTCTTTATAAACCACTTTAACACTCAGTTTTTTAATTACAAAATTTTTCCATAGTATACAAAAAACGTATGCCGTATGCCGTCGTCGCTTTATTTTTCATCTACATACATATAATATATATTCTTTTATTATTCTTTATTTTTATTTTTATTTTTTTTCATACACAATTTTAAATATGATTCCGAATAATATTGTAAATTAAGTGAATAGTTTTACTAGCTCCTACGAGTATTATTTTTAAAAAGTTTTTTTTTTTTTTTTAGGATCTTTTTTTAATTTATATATCATTGTGTCACGAACTTTTACCTTCTTCTTTATCACGATTCACATTTTCAATATTTTTCTCGGCCATATTGTTCTACTGCCTAATGCCCTTTGCTCGATCAGGGAATGATAATTATTTTTTAAATGAAGTAATTTATGTTACAAGTCAATTGAAATGTCTCAGTCAATATGCACTATAGTATATTAATTTATCACAGATGTCTTTCTATTTCACTATTTCCGAGCACTTCCAGCTCTACGCGTTTTCTGCCAGCGAATGACGAAGTCTTCTGAATGGCACAGAGCTTTTATTACATCTTGACAAATTTAAAGATTCATTTCCAGATCATTAACACATTCTTATCAAAGATAACAAATCTTACACAAGCTTCTCATAAAGATTATGAATGGATTCAAATTGAAATAACCGTATTCGCTTATAATATTTCTCTAATGAATTATACAAGAATTGTTTTATTGTTAATACAAACCAGTCGACCCAATCGAGTCTATGCTTATATTTCTTTATTATGCAAAATAAAATTCTACTATATACATAGATATATCGAAGACCCCAGGAGGCAATATTTAAGTATAAGTTAGTTTTAAATTTATATTAACTCTGTTGTTTTTATAATATTAATATTTAAAATTATTAAGCAGACATTTTCATTATTTTGTCCCATGATACCTCAAATCGACTTCAAAGACGATTTTAGTCTATACCCTAATACACTGATATTCGTTTATCTATCTAGACTCGTATAGCCAGAAAATGCTTTGCCAGTCATGGGTTAAACACTTTTTGTAAGCATGTGGATCTGTAGGCAGATTTCTAGACATCTTCCAGTCCTCGTCATAGCCGAGACAATGTGTTGCTAATCAGCGACAGCCCACAAGTGATGATAAGCGAAAAGGTAGCAACCAAGATAGCATAAGTTAAATTATATTTGGGGGCAGGTAAATGCGTGATAAGCGTGTTGCCAGATGACTTAGCAGCTGTGAATGTTTAAACAATTACATACATGTAAATAATATATAATACCCCTAATAATAAAAGTAAATGCTTAAATAGGCATCACTTTCGTAGGTTGTAGGAGATACGTCATTTCGGCGTCATACATACGAAATCAGAGTATGGATCATATATGTATGTACATACAATATGGATCGCGCGTTAATTATTTAATTATATCTCGTTTCGAGAATGACTTTCAAATAGCAATACATATGCAGGTAATCTATCTAAATAAACTAATGCGTGTTTCTGCTATACAATATAAAATTGAAAAATGTATTGTGAACACGTAGAATTATCGTACAGTTTATATATACAGTCGAATCTCGATAATTCGTAATGGCAAGGGAACCGAATTTTTTATGAATTATAGAGGTTTTCGATTTACCGAGGTTTCCATTTAACGGGGTGTAAGAAAT